ACAATTATACATATATGCAAATATATATACTGAATATTTAACATAAAGTATTTAATATTCTTGTTTAATGATTAAATGCTCCGTCCAGCCTACTTTCTTATGCCTACAATGTAAACGAAGAAGAAAACAGAATATAATCCATATCACACTACATGTACAAAAAAATGCTCAAGTTATTTCTCTGACTTGAGCGTCCATGTCAAGGTTAATTATGGAAAATGAATCTTACATATAGGGGCGGATTGACTAAGCGGAAAAAAACTACTTATGGATATATATTTTGAAATAATTAATCATTTGCGGACAATATCTAACAATGTAAAAGTCGCAGTAAATCGCAAATCAATTTTATCAGAAATTTATTATAATAACAAAAGTTTGTTATTATAATAAAACATGTTTTTATAACAAATTTACTCCTTTTATTATGATAAATATTAATTTTACATTATTCAAATTAAATTTACGATTTCTACAATTTTTCTGTAAAATAATTTCTAATAGATAGTAAACAGGAAGTATCTCTCGATATCTTTCAGAAGGCTGATGGCCAATCCGCCCCCGATCTTACACATGGCACGCGATTAATCGACGTTCTAAAATCTGACGCTGAATAACTCTCTTAAATTGTATAAAATTATATACAGCATCGCGTTACTTAGTATTGTGCTCCACTCCCACAAAGCGCCACGAAATTACTTATTCTCTTTCTCGCTCATTTTTCGAGCATTCAAAAATTTTCGACTAGTGTAGTAAAGTCTAAAAGAAAAAGAATTATACATAACACACAAGGCTCGTTAATCAATAGCATCGATTATCGCGTCATTGAAATTTTTATCATCCAAAGAAGACAATTTTCGTCTAAAGCTCGAGCAAAGTGCAAGAAAATTCACGAATTCGTTCTGCAAAGAACAGAACGTGACAGCGTGAAATCTCCTTCAAGATGGGAGATCAGTAAATGCTTGTGATAAATAGGACATCATCCATTCACTTCGATCTTTCTTTTTTTTCAATATTCATCAATACGATACACACACACGATAATCCCTTTTCGATCCTCTCCGCATCTCATTTGTCCCTCAATATGAATTACATCCTTGAACTCCTTCCTTGACTAGATTCGTACTCAGTTATATTGATATTTCTTGCCTGATGCCATTGTATACATCGGACATGCAGGGATCTCGGGAGTTAAACATTGGTCTTTGTTTTGCTATTCTCGGGCTCCGGCGGACAGTGATCGGAGTGTGTTGCCCATGCAGCAAGCTGTCAATATTAAAAAAAAATACAATTCATTATTATTGATAGTCATTAATGTAAATCGTGAATATGAAAAAATGATACATCATACGTAACTGTGCACTTGACATGACATGTACCTGACATGAACGACTACAATACCACTGATTTCCACATCCGGCACAAACAAACTGTGCGGGTCGAATTATGCATCCCTGACATTTTGGCGGAGCATTTGGTGAAGGTGGATTGTCCTTCACTATTTGTTTACCATCTCTTCCAATCACTGAGTTTCCTTTCCTATCATCAATTAGCGATGTTTCGTCCTCTATATCTTCCTAAAAGTTCAATGAAATGATCAAACACCCACAAGAGAACGTATTAACATTAAATTGAAAAAAAATTTACCACTTGAATTAAATCGTTGGAGTGAGATTGCGCGGGAGTGTTAACGACGGGGGTTATAGTTATCTCTGTGCGAGCCTGGAGAAAATATCTTACATTACTAAAAAAAGATAAATTTATATCTCGCCTAACTACTCACTTGGCCAGAGTTTTTCAAGCTTTTATCTTCCAAAAACTTATATTATTTATTTTTATAAATTATTTACATTATTTATATTCTCTTATTTCTATTTATTTATATAAATTCTATTTATTTATATAAAATGAAGTTACGCTGCTGGATATTCAAATAGTCACATAATAATCATGTTGTTTAAAAGAAACTGCATATTTTATGCTAACGTAAATTACGAAAAAAAGAATAATTAGAAAAAAATAAAAAAACAAAGAACCTTGGAAGAAGACAGGAGATCATTTATAGAAACCATATTAGAGCCTTGGTATGTCTGCAAAAGGTGCTGAGTCGTGGCGCTTGGCTGCGACATAGACGCTGACGTCGCTGCTGCCGCCGCCGCCGCCGCTGCCGCTGCGGCCGCCGGGGAACTCCTTTCTCTTTCAGGCGCAGTGAGTAATCTTGCTAAAGTAGGTGAAAAAGTCGAGGATCTCGGCGTTTGAGCTTTTGTTAGAATTCCATGGAGCAACGAGCCGGTTGGCTGAGTATTCTGGGCAGACGAAAGTGTCACAGGATGAAGCGTCACATCTGGATAATTCTGCGGTACCTTGGGTTCACCTAAATATAATATTAGAACGTAGTTATAGTTTGGTAATCATCAAAATTGAATAATTACAAATTGTCTCTCTTCGGAAACAATATAAATTTAATCAATTAAAAAATTTTAGAAAAATGATGTTACCTTGCTGACTCAACTTAGCAAATTGTACTAGCATGTCTTTATAGTTCATGGGATCGTTCGTGCTTGGATTACTTTTGCACGATTCTGTGCTAGATGGTCTCGAATCAGCATTGTGTCCAGTTTCAACCATAGCGCCGCCAGCACCGAGATTGATGTTCACGTTCGAATTTCTCAATCGTCGTCCTCTACAATTGGGAATGGTGCTCAAGTGTCAAAAAAATGAAATTGTTTTCATAAAAACACTGATTTTTTTAGTGCTGTATAAATTCGTATAAGCAAATATTGCATATTATTAATGTAGCCTCAATTATTTTATTAATCAGAATTCCTGATATTGAATATTTTCTTATCTAAAATTATATTTGCTATAAAAGTGTGTTTCAACCATTTAAAAAAAAATTATTGCGAATCGATCCTAATACAAGAAATTATAGTATGAAATTTGAAAAAAAAAAAAAAACATTTTTTTTGGTCGTATCTTATGCATAGCAAATAGAATCAAGGATATACCATTTATTGCATTATAAACAATAAATTTAACTTTTGTCATCTTAATTCATACTCGTTTAATTCTGACTTGGTATGTCATCCTTGATTCTATTTGCTATACATAAGAAATTATATTCAAATTATATTTCTCGGATATTATTGAAAATTATATTGCATCCATATCGTGCTAATGTGACGTAAATTTTATATTTCAAACATTTATGAAAATTATTTTGTTGAATCGTTATTTATACAAATTTTGATAAGTAAAGCCATATTTTTTTTTTCTCTCATTCTGTTATTTATAATTAATTTACCTTCTTGGTACAGTTTCTGGATGCTTAAGCCTGTGGTCGGCAATAATGGATCTGACATCTACTATTGCACCTTGACGGCCTTCTCCGATCTGCCGACTTTCCGGACTCGACACCTCATTCTGTTTACGACTGCTCTCGCCATTGGTTTTCGGAGGAGTCGCTCGTTGTTGCGAGCTAGCTTTCGGGATTTTCTCTTTCTTCGAACCTGATGAATCCGAAGATCTCTCGCCTAAATCTTCCTTAATTTCGAAAGATCTCTCCTTCGATACGGAATTGCTGCCATTGTTCTCCCATTCGGCCGAACTCACAGATGATCGTGGCGGTAAAGTTTCCGACAACTGACCGTCATTTTCCATGTAAGCTGTTGTTTGTATCTTCCTTTCGAGCCTCTGATATGCCTCCTCTTTGAGTTTCCTCTTCCTCAAGATCTCATTCCATTCCATTTCTTTGGCATGTGCTAAGTTTTCAAGTGTCTGCAGATAAAAATTAACAAAAAGAAAAAGTGTAAAGAGTATAAAGAGTTTAAAGAAAGAATGGTTTTGAAGAAAAAAAAAAAGATCATAGTTTCAAATACTCACTAAAATATCGGCTCGCAATTGATCAGCTTTTGCCACAAGGTCTTCAATACTTTCGTTGTTGTCGCCCACAATATTCGAAATGTATTCTTCTCGTGTGTAGTTGTCGCGAAATTTCTTCTTAGGAGGATTTCCTGAGTGAGGTGAAACTTGTAGAGTTGACTTCCGTTTTCTAATCTCAACCGGCTCAGACCCTGCTTTAACGTGACGCGGCTGCACGACATCACTTGGAGTCGTCGCACTTTGTCGCGACGTACTCGCAAGCAGCTGTCTGCCCTTAGTATTCGAAGTCTCAGTATCGCAGCGCGAGTCGTCCTTCTTCTTGCGTGGACGACCCACCGATGCCGTCGGCGCTGCCGCTGTTTCCTCCGGAAGAGCGGCGCCGTTCTGCTGGCTTTGAGGTACTTTCGGCGACGGCGATGATCTGGACGTCTTGTCATCCTCTGCGGTATCCACCTTTCGCTTACTCTCGGTCGCACCCTCCATCGCGTGCATCTTGTTGTTTAAACTGTAAACATACAACATTCATTTTCATTTAGAATTCTTTATTTCAATCCACTTCAGGATTTTATATCAGATTTTGTACCAAAATTCAAGATATAATTTTAATTATAATTTCAAGTAACGTATAATACAAAAAATTTTTGTATACATCAACGAAGAATCAAAAATACATACGCACACATGTGATATAAAATATATTAAAATATGCGATATATAAAATTATGAATAGAAATCTACCTCAAAATTTATCGCAAATTACAGATCCTCTAAAGTGGATTCAATATGTATTTTGTGCGTTTAGTACTTATATGTATTTTATATGCATTTTGTACTGAAATGCTTCATATGACAATCGCACATGAAATTATAAATAGAACTTTGTCACAAATTTTAACCGCTCAAGATATCAAGAAAATCAGAAAATTGGAAATCTTGAAAGATCAAGTCCGTTGTATCAGGTGACTATTTTTGACAAAAAAAAATAACTTGGATCTCGCACCGAGTTTATTATAAATATAGCAATAGAATGAAACGTGACCATAGAAATAATATTAGAATAATAGTAGAAATAATATTAGATATATTATGAGGTTTTTTTTTTAATAAAATGTCTCTAGCCGGGACGATCAAGTATGCAATATATAATTATTTAGGAAACTGTTTTCTCTAATTTTCTTAACAAAGTTTATTGAGATATAATGATATATTGAGTTGCCCGGAAAGTTCGTGCCGTTTTGAAGGAAAATTGAAATGCAGAAGATTTAAATTTTATAGTATACATTTATTAAATTTAAATTTTTTGCGGTAACAACCAAATAGAATAGATTAAACAATATTTCTGTTTTCTCACAATACAAGAAAATAAAATATTTCGCTTGCGGTATTAACACGTTGTCTAGTTAGCTATTTTTTTTATATATCTTATCGTATACGACACAGTAAAATGAGCATAAATGTATAATGATACGTATAAAATAGTATATGGTTAAATAGAACTTTTCTCTTTTCTTTATTCTCATAGGTATTGAATAGAAGACTTTTTACTTTATATTTAACAATTTACATCATTCAAAACATATTCAATTAATTTTTGTACAAGTATTTAAAAGTTTTTAATAGCACTATGGTTCTCAGTAATCATCAGGGCGTCACTGAAAAATCAGATACTGATAACCACCATGTTAATAGACCAACTGTGCAAGAATGAGTATTATAAAAACATCGCGCATTATCTTGGTTATCAATAAATCCGAGTGCATTGAGTAATAATCGATTGTGATTGTTACATATTTTTCAATCAAATCTACTCGTATTTTTTCCGAACAATTCGATTACTTAATGTTTTTCCTTCTCTCTTTCTTTCTCGATGCATGATATACGTTAATTCATTATCATTCCTGGATTTTCGAAACCAAAGTATTCTCCTTGTTTCCATCTTATTCGAAAGAAATCACCCTATACACGAATATACGAACGAACTTCCAAGATCTTGTAGCTAAGAAGGTCGAATCCTGCAAAACAATTTCGCGAGAAACGATGACATTGATAAACCGATAAACATATACTGCAATAGAAGCGTCAGTCGGTCGACCTTATCTAGAAAATAGTTGTTCACCGGGGGCCTCAAGGACGGCGCGATGTGGTAAAATGCTACGCGCGCGCCATCGTTCCCTCGTAATATCGGCGCTTAACACAGTGCGATATTCATGTCCTCACGCGGGACATATATATCACGGCGTAAATAAAATCTTCGTATCACGACCTGATTAGCCAGCCGCTATAATTAGACGTCGCGTAGCTTAATCAGCACACCGTCAGCGTCCCGATTAATTAACGCGCGTAAGCGTCTTCTCCAACTTTGCCATGGATAAGGGACGGGGGTGGGAATAATCAAAGTGGTCCCCCTACTTCGACGCAATCGACGATTCGACGAAAGTTCAGCGAAAGAGCACCGAACGATCGGGAACTTGGTGGGAAATAAATCTGGAATGTCACGCTTACTTACTTATTTATAATCAGAAAAATTTATTTAAAAATTTATGGAAAATTCTTAAAAATATCCCCTCTTTCTCTCGTTTGGGCCAATAACCGCGAGATTTTCAATAAGATTCATATATTATAATTAATTGATCAAATTGTCTTACTTCAACTTAATTTAATTATTGATTTGTGCAGTAAAATTTAATTGACAAAAATTGAATTAGACAATTATCCACAAGCGTGTGTACATAACGTATGAAATATTCAACAATGATAATAAATAGATAATGAGAAATAAAATATATTTTTCCTGTTTGGAAGGATTGATGACGTTGAAAGAAAATCTGTTTCTCTCAACGCGATCACTTTCAACATATTTTTCACAAATATTTATATCATACTTTCTTAAAGTAGATATGACCATGATCCATTTATAGCATTGTTCCGGTTCAGTAAAAAGAATAAATTACAGATAGCAAGTCACATAACATATTGCATTAACGATCCTTTCAACATGATCGAATTTTAATTACAAATAGATTTTAATTGCATAAAACTATGTCTCACACATATGAAAAATTAACCTTATTTCTTGGTTTTCTTTTACTAATTCATCTCATATTATGGTATTTAACGAATAAAGCAATAAAGACATATTAACGATCTTTCTTTGTCTTTTTTGAAATTAATTCAATAATGAAATTTAATTTGCAAGTCTCATCTTATTCTCTCATACATGCATACAAACACAGAGTAGAGTAATATTCATAGACCAATTTTATTTAAAAAAATCGTTCTAAATGTAATCTTAAAGTTCTGTTCAGTGATACGACTAGATCATACTCAAGACGATCTTAAATGCAAAGTTGCACTACAAATCCCCTAATTATTTATGGGATTAGATCTTGGCTGATGGGTGCGTTTCGTTTTATGCGTGATGTGGGCGATGTATCTCATCCTTGTTATTCCGAATGTTAATACTAGAACTCCGAGGCCATTTTAGTTCTGTCAATCATTTAAATTTTTTTCTTTTAAAAATATACAGTATAGAAAATATGTGAATGTAACACAAATAATTCTAATGATATCAATAATATAAAAATCAATCTTTATTAAGCAAAAACAAGAAAATTATCAAATTGACACCTTCGACAATTCTAGCGAAATATACTGTCAGTGATTCTGTAATAGCGTTTAATTTAGCGTGTAATTTAAACAAAAATAAAATGATTATGCGCATCTTGCATAAAACGGAACGTACACATGTACGTTCAATATTTGACAATACGTGTCTAACGGATCAGTTTGTATAGTCAGAATGCATGTACAGAGTGCATTCTTGCTTCCATCCCCCTCTCCTCTCACAATCATTTTCTTGATGGAAATTATCGATTCGTCTTCCGCGTCGTGGAACAGGTGTTTCGTGGATACAAATTTACAAAGAACTTGTTACAGATTTGTTAAATAAATAGAATAATAGTTATCTCACATTGTGTGAGACTGTGATATTATCAGGCGCGCTTAACATTCCTAATATACATCGGCCAAATACTCAGCATTATGACTCGTCATGCCACGTTATCGCAAATATATATTCTCAATGTTGAATATGACGTTGGCGAGACGGCGTGTACACGCCATGTTGCATTGTCGACATCATAAGTAAAAAAATCACGAATATGAATTAAAGAATTAGTTTATTAATATGATATTTTAAACTCGATATTAATATCGAGAAGAGTAAAGATGTATAAATAATATATTAAATAGTTATAATATATTAAATAATATATTAAATAGTTTGTATAAATAATATATTAAATAATAAATAAATAGTTTTGCACTATTCACAAATTCGGAGTGATATGGAGTATAACCTTCCAAATAGTCTCCTTTCGAAGCAATGATCTTCTTTCAGCGGTCCATTTATTTTCGAAAGCAGTCACTTTTGTGATAGCCAACAGCTTCCTCGTCGCATTTAGTGTCTTCAACATCATTAAACCGTTTACCTTTCGATTTTTCAACTTAGGAAATAACCAAAAGTCATATAGAGCTATATTTGGATTGTATGGGGTTTACGAAGTTGGACAATGTCATGTTTAATCAAAAAATCTTGAATCAGATAACATGAAGATACGTTATCATGATGTAGCAACAATTTCCACTTTTCCACAAATACAGCTGTTTCCTCTTCACTGCGTCACGCAATCGTTTAAAAACTCAAATAATATTCTATATTTATTACGACCTTGTGGAGCATATTTGTGGTATATAATACCTTGATGATCAAAGAAAACAATGAGCATTGCTTTCACATTGCTCCAACTCTGGTGCGTTTTCTTGGGTCGAGTCTCTTCTCTCGTCATCGATTGTGCTTTTGTTTCAGGGGCGTAGCCATAAACCCATATTTCATCGCCAATAATAATTCTTTCTTTCGAGCAACTTTTGATTGAGCACTCGTGAAATGAATTTTGCACACGACTCATTTTCAGATCTTCAAAATTCAAGAAATACTCTCATTTGACATTCCAAGGTCGTCTTTTAATTGTGCATTACTCATACAATCACCATTACGAATCATGTCGACAGTCTGGGAAGATGTGTAGCCAAGCTCTTGGCAAAATTTAATGTAAATTCTTTGCTTGACTTACTCGGTCATTATAAATTGCTCGAAATTTTCGACGCTCACACAACTGCGTATTGTTGATGATTAAACAGTTATTGAGTCATGCCGCTTAATGGACCTCAAGTGAACTTCTCTAAATACTGAATGCCTATTTTCCATAATAGAGGATGATAAAAACAAAGATATACATAGATCTGTCACAAAAACAAAGATATACATAGATCTGTCTCAAAAAAGTATCCAACTTCTATGTATGTCTTTTTCCTTAGGTATCCTTCCTCTATTGTGGAAACCGCATTCAGGGAAGACCTTGAAGAGTACTCTCAGCAAGCTGCACCACCCAACAGGCGCAGCTGCTCAGTCAACAGTACGCAGTTACGCGAATATCGAAAACTCCG